TGGAAGATGGAAGTGAAGGAGACTGTCATGTCAGGCTCTTCCCATTCCTTGAAATTGATGAGTCTAGGCAGATGTCACTAATCTTTGATTTGTGCTCTTATAATTTTATTTCATATTTCTTTGACTGTTGCTCTTACATTAACTAGCTTCTTCTCCTTTGGGGGAATTTAACTTGCAACTTTTGAGATTGATATTTGGAGCACTAATGCATACATTTATTGTTAAAAATTTCCCCTAAATACAGCATAAGCTATGCCAGTAGTCACGTTTTTACTACTATCTCTGTGACATGGTCAATTTAATTACTGATAAATGTAGATTTTAAAATTAACATCTTTTTTTTTCCTCCTACCATATGGGGGGTTGAACCCAGGGTCTCACACAGGCTATGCAAGCTATATTTTAGCCCCTTTTTTCTTATTTTGATACAAGGTCTCACTAAGTTGCCCAGACTGGCCTTGAACTTTTGATCCTCTTGCCTCAGCCTCCTGAGGAGCTTGGGTTACAGGCCTCTGTCACCATCCCCAGCCAACTTCTGTTTCTGCAAACACTGTTCATTACTTTCTTGTCTTGTAGTACTTGAGTACTTCATTTTTCCATTTCCCCACACTTTGTCTTACTTGTTTACTTATTCAGATATATTCATTTTCTTTTACTCATTACCCTATAGATTTTACCATTCTTTCTTAGCCTGTAAAAACCCAATAGTGATGATTTTATCACTTCTCTGTGAGAACATGGACCTTGGAATAATTTTGTATCATTTATCACTCCTTTCCTTTTTGTATCATTATTGTTGCCTTTTTAAAATTTGTTTTAGTTGTAATTGGACACAATAACTTTTTAAAAAATATTTTTTAGTTGTCAGTGGACATTTTTTTTTATTGATATGTGGTGCTGATATGCCCAGTGCCTCATACATGCTAGGCAAGCGCTCTGCCACTGAGCCACAACCCCAGCCCACAGTACCTTTATTTTATTTATTTTTATGTGGTGCTGAGGATCAAACCCAGCATCTTGCACATGCTAGGCGAGTGCTCTACCACTGAGCCACATCCCCAGCCCCATTGTTGCCTTGTGTGTGTGTGTGTGTGTGTGTGTGTGTGTGTGTTTGCAGTGCTGAGGCTCTAACCCCCGGCACTCTGCTGATGAGCTATGCCCCCTGCCCTGTTTTAATTTTTAATCACATATTTGTTAATTCCATAAAACATCGGTACTGTTTTCCAGAACTAATGTTCATTTAGTCTTTGTATTTCTCCTTTCCGTCTTCATTCACTCTGTCTTGCAGTGCTTTTGTCTGGGATCATACTTCCTTAGCCTGATTAACTTGTTTCAGTGCTGGTGTGCTGGCAAACTAATTCAGTTTTTATTCATCTGGGAAAGAAAATCTTCACTTCCAAGTGATACTTCAATGTGTATATAGAATTGTCGACTTGCAGTTCACTTGTCCTTTTGGCTTCCTTTCTGTCTGTTGGATTAGCTCTTAGTCTTCCTGTTGTTGCATTGAGAGTAAGATGTCCTTTTCCTCCTCTGTGGCTACTTTTAAAGATGTCTAATGTCTGGTTTTCTGAGGTTTTAATATGTACCTGCATGAGGTTTTCTTTTTGTGTCTTGGGGTCCAGAACTTCTTAAATCCAGTGGCTTGGTGACTTCAATTTTTGAAAGGTTTAATTATTATTTGTCTTTTCAAATGACAAAGTGAGACTAATTCTTGGGAGAGTACCTGAGTTAAAGTTATTAAGGAGGTAATTGAGTGGTTGTTCATATCTAATGTTGAGGTTTCTTGAACAGATAAAGAGCAGCAGCTGTGAGCCTGATCTAAAGGCCTTTTGAATGGAAGGCTGTGACTTCAGGAGGTAGGTGGCAGTTGTGAGAGTAGTGGCTGGACATGTCTGGTGATGCAAGTACCTCCAAGGGGAAGGAAGTTTCGTAAGAGGGAGACAGGAGCAAAGATGAAAGAAAAAATAAAAGGAGGGCTGGGGATGCAGCCCAGTGATAGAGTGCTTGCCCAACAGGTGCAAGGCCCTGGGTTAATCCCCAGCACCACAAAAAATAACAGTAGAAAGGAAGGATATTTTCCCTTCCCAGACCTGACAGATGAATATGATGCAAAAAGTGTCTCAGGTTGGATGGGCTACAGGGGAAATCACATTGTTAGAGAAGTGCTAAAGAAAGTAGAAAAGGTTTTCTCCTTTTAAGTTAAGGGCTTATTGATCAAGGAAGCTGAAACTTCAGAGGACAAAGCTGAGAAGTTTGTGAAGGGAGAGAAATGAAAAATTAGATTGTTTTGGTTTTTGGTACTAAGGATGGAACCTAGGGATGCTTAACCATTGAATCACATCCCCACCCCCCTTTTTATTTTTTTCATTTATTATTGTTATTATTATTAGTTGTAGATGGGCACAATACCTTTATTTTGTTTATGTGGTTCCAGGATCGAACCCAGTACCTCAACACATGCTCAGCAAGTGCTCTACCACTGAGCCACAACCCAGCCCCCCTACCCCATTTTTAAAGTTTTATTTTGAGACAGTGTCTCACTAAGTTGATGAGACTGGGCTTGAACCAGCCTTGAACTTTTGATCCTCTTGCCTCACCTTAAACGCATGCATCGCTGTGCTCAGCACAAATTAGATTTTAATAGATAGTACAGAGCAGTGTGAGAGATGCATGAAGATGGGTGCCTTACAAAGCTTGCCTTCTTGGCCTTGACAAGTAAAGGGATGATGTGAAGCACAATGAGATCAGTCCTGTCAGATTGCCTGGTGATTACCAAGGCTTCCCTACAGATGGGGGTGTGTATAGAATAGCCCTTCTCTGAGGTCTCGTGAGCCTATGGCATAGTGGGACCTAGCCAGTGTAGGCTTCCCAGGAGGGGTCAGTACCATCCATTGTCTTTACAGATGGCTCATTGAGGCTGGACACAGTACCTTCTCAAGGTTTTTCAGAGTTTTCAGATTTTGAAACCCCAAACTAGGCCTTAGACCTACCCTTTACCAAGTGAAATAGTAGCTGTGGGACCTCTGGTGGCCAGTTGGCCACTTAACAGCAAATCAGTCTTCTGTTAATTGGGGGATTCTGTCTTTATGTACTGTAGCTGACTAGTTTTTACCAACAGGGGTGTCATATTGGTCAAATACAAGAGATGTGGCCAACTTTTTCTGTAAAGGCCAGATAGCAAATATTTTAGGCTTTGTGGGCCATATCTTTGTCCAGCTAATTTATTGTTCTTTTACAGTTGGAAAGTAGCCAGAAACAGTATGAATGTGAGTGGCTGCATTCCATTGGCATTTTTTTGCAAATGTAACAGATAAATGGTCAGATTGTTCTATTTATATGGATTTAGTAGTGATTGATAGCTATATATACACATTCTTTTATGTTGTATTTAATCACTGGCTTAATTGCCAAATCCAGGAAGTACTTTTCACTTTTTGTTTGACTAAACCACCCTTAGAACTTGATATTGAAGGTTACATTCTTCCCTAAATGCTCCCTCCCAGGGCCTCCAGATATTGTCTTCTCTCCTGGTTCTCTTACCACTCTCATCCTTTTTTTAGTCCCTCTGTGGATCCTTAATTTTTGGTGCTCCCTAGGATTTAAAATAATACCTTCTTATTATTTTAATTTTTCAGAGTGTTCTTCCTGTGCTGTTGTATTTATGGCTGTAGTTTTTAGAACTTCTAAATCTGCATTTTAGAAGGTTGTACATATAGAGATTTTACATATCAGATTTATTGTTTTATTGCTTGTAGAACATAGTTATCCCTGTGACTCAGAGGTATTGGAGTCTCAACATGTCGAGATTAAGCTTGGTCTGCTCTCGAGTCTCCTCCAGTGCTCCAGTGCTCTATCTCATTAATGGCCTCACAGTCTACTCAGCGATCTGGGGAGCCTGGGAGTCACTATGGTTCTTCCACAGTTCAAGCATTTGTGGAACTCTGTCAGTGTTCCTTCTAAATGTCGCTTCATCCCAGTGAAGGCCAGACAGTAGCTGGCCAGCACTGTCTCAGCACTCACTGTTGGTCTCAATCTTTGCAGTTCTGACCCCCTGCTGAGGATGCTGACCACTAAGGCCAGTGACTCATTCTGCGCAGGCAGTTAAGCCCTCTTCACTTGGTATGTAGGTACTTAACAGTACTTACTATATTACAAATTTGAATGTGACCTTCTGTTTTAAGACTAAGCTTCTAGAGTGTTGACTTAGACACCCAGCTTCATATCTCCCACCACTTCACATCCCTGTTGCTTCTTTCATAAATATTGGATAACACTGGAATCTATGAATTTTCAGTTGCTAGTAAACAATGAAATTAATGCATGTATTTATGTCTACAACTTCAGGAAACCCCAAGGAAATAAAGGAATAAAAGAAATTGTATACAGCCATGAGGACTAAAAGAATGAGAAAATAGACAAGGCTCTAAGAGCACTAGCAGCCAGGCATCTTCATCCCCATTCTTACCCTAGTAGTAGGAAACTTGTGGAATTTCTGTTTTGTTTTGTTTCTGGAGAAACTTTTTTCCCCTCAGAGAAGGATTAGCTTCTATATAATTACCCATTTATGGTAGCATCTAATGTTGACAGAGCCTTACCTAATAACATTTTGTTATGCTTTTAAATTTTAACGAATATTAAAATTAATTTTAAGTTTAAATATATTGATTATCACCATTTGGTTCACAGTATGTTGATGGTAGCTACTGCTACCATCAACATTAAAATGGTTCCCTTTATAAAAGTCAGCCCTTAACAACATGATCTCTCATCTTTATCCCAGAAGTTTTGCCTTTTCCAAAATATCATTTGAATAGAATTTTGTAGAGTGTAGCTGGCTTTGTTCACTTATAATGTATTTGAGATTCATCCATCTTATTTCATGTAGTCTTTCCTTTTCCTTTCTTTTGTACTGTGGATTGAACCCTGGGGTGCTTAACCACTGAACCACATCCATCCCTTTTTATTTTGAGGCAGGGTCTCACTAGTTGCTAAGACTGACCTTGAACTTAAGATCCTCCTGCCTCAGCCTCCCAAACCACTGGGATTACAGGTATGTTCCACTGTGCCCACTTTCCTTTTAATTGCCAAGTGACATTCCATGATGAGTACCAGTTTGTTCATCCATTTACCTATTGAAGGACAACTGAGTTGTTTCCAGTTTGGGACAATAACAAATAAAGCCACTGTTACTATTTGTGAACAGATTTTTGTGTGAGCATGTTTTTGTTTTTCTTGAGTAGATGAGGGAGGATTTCTAGGTCATATGATGACTGATATGTTTAACTTCATAAGAAACTACCAATGAGGCTGGCACAGTGGCACATACACAGCCCCCACTGTCCAGGAGGTGGAGGCTAGAGGGTTCCTGGAGCCCAGGATTCCAAGGCCATCCTGAGCAATGTAGCAAGACCACATTTTTTAGAAGAATGGAAGAAAGTGAGAAAGAAAGGAAAGTGCTGATTTGTTTTCCATGGCATCCTGTATCACTTACCAAAAATGTATCAAGTTCTAAGGATGGGGCAGAGGGAGGCTGGACAATGGGTGCCAGAATAGTGAGAAGGAGGAAGTCCTGGCATCTTGTGGCACAGTAGTGGCCCAGTAGCCTGTCATAAGTTTTATGGCAGGCTAGAAGAAAGGCGCTCTCAGGCCCTAAACAAAGGCAATGGCACGGGGTTAGAAACGTAGTCCCCCAGAACCAATCAGTACTTACTGTGTGCATAAGTTGAAACATTGCACTGTGCCTGGTGAATATGCACAAGTACTGCATGTCAATTAAAAAATTTACTTAGATGCTTAAGGAGATAGTAAGGTTAATTACAGTGGTTAGATCATTACATGCTACGTGTATCAAATCATCACACCGTACCCCATAAATTTCTGCAATTCAAGTACTATGTTTTTTTAAATATGAAAAAAAAATGAGAGTTCTAATTGATTTACATCCTCACCTGCACTTGAGTGTTGTGTTTTGTTTTGTTACATTATGTTCATTTGCCATTCTGGTAAGAGTGTAATGGTGTGTCCATTTTCTTTAAATTGAGACAATTGTACATTTATATGTATTAGGGTACAATGTGACATTTTGATGGATGTACAGATTGTATAATATTCAACTAAGGGTAAGCGTATGTTTTCCCAAAAATGTATCATTTCTATGTGATGAAAATTTTCAAAATCCTTTCTTCTGCTGGGTGCAGTGGCATACATTAGTAAGCTCAGAAGCCTGGGAGGCTGAGGCAAGAAGATCACAAGTTCAAAGCCAGCCTCAGTAACATAGCAAGACCCTGCCTCAAAATAAAAAGGGCTGAGGATGTGGCTCAGTAGTAAAGTGCCCATAGGTTAAATCCTTGATACTAAAACCAAAAATCCTTATATTATAGGCATTTTAGAGTGTCTTTCCTATCCCAACAGCTCAGGAGGCTGAGGCAGGAGAATTGTGAGTTCAAAGCTAGCTTCAGTAATTTAGCAAAACCCTATGCAACTTAGCAAGATTCTGTCTTTAAATAAAATATTTTTTAAAAAGGCTAGGGGGCTGGTGCTGTAGCTCAGTGGCAAAACACTTGCCTATCATACATGAGGCACTGGGTTCGATCCTCAGCACCACATAAAAATAAATAAGTAGAATAAAGGTATTGTGGAAAAAAATAAATCAACATATAAAATAAAGGCATTCTATCCATATATAACTACCCCCCCCCAAAAAAAAACAAACTTTTTTAAGGGCTGGAAATGTGGCTCAGCAGTTAAGTGCCCTTGGGTTCAATTTCCAGTACTCGCCCCCCATCCACCCACCTCCCAAAAAAGACTGTCTTTCCTAAATCAAAGGTTTGGACTTTTGATGAAGTCCAGTCTGCCATCTTCTCTAATGGTAAGTGGTGTTTAAGGGATGAAATACAGGTTGAGTTTCTTACGGGTATTTTCTCGTCATTTTCAGTTTTGGGGGTGAGGATGCATGTGGATGTCTAATTGTTCTAGCAGTATTTGTTGAAAAGACTATTCTTTTTTTCATTGAATTGTCTTTGAACTTATGCTAAAAACATCACTTTGTCTGTTTCTAATTTTTTTTTTTTTTTTTAAATTTTTGAGACAGAGTCTCACTAAGTTGCTCGGGCTGATCTTGAACCTGTGACTCTCTTGCCTTGGCCTCCCAAGTTGCTGGGATTGCTGGTGTGGCCCCCACATTATGTGTTTCTGGCCTCTTAGTCTTCCCTTGGTCATTGTGTCTGTCCTTTACCACTGCCACACTGTCTTAATCACTGAGGTTTTGGAATGTCTTAAAGTTGTTATTTTCCAACTTTATTCTTTTTAAAAACTGCTGTGGCTTTTCTAGTTCCTTTACCTTTTTATATAAATTATTGTCATTGTCTACAAAAAAAAAGTCTTGTTGATTAAAATTGCGTTGACTCTACAGAGCTTTTCTAGTTCCTTTACCTTTTTATATAAATTATTGTCATTGTCTACAAAAAAAAAGTCTTGTTGATTAAAATTGCGTTGACTCTACAGAGCAGTCTGAGGAGAATTAATAAACTGGACAATATTGAGTCGTCCAGCATATGAACATACTCTCTTATGTGTGTAGGCCTTCTTTGATTTATTTCATTCATTCGTAACTTTGAGCATATAGTTAGTTAACTACACATAGTTTGTTAGATTTGTACCTATATATGTTCGTTCTTTATGTGCTGTTGTATATGACACTTTTTAAAAATTTCCAACAAGTTACTAATATATAGAAATAATTTTGAGTTTTGTATATTGACCTTGTGACCTATAAATTCATTCACTTCTTAATTCTAGAAGCTTTTTACCTCTTATGTGGAAATTGGCCCACATGAGAACAAGAGGCTATTACTCAGCTTGATATATATAGCAAGGGCATCAGCTACTATTATTTGCATTTGACACAGACTCAAAGGGGGAATATAAATACTTTGGGAGGGGGAACAGGGGGAGATCTGAGGTATTTATTCCCTGGTTGGAAGTTGTTGTATAGAGAAGCTAGGAAGAGGACTAAACAGAGGGGAGGTACACTGTGTGATTGGTTACGGGAGGATACTGTTCTTTCACTTCTTATTCCTAAATTGGAAGTAGAGCAGAAAAGCCAAAGCAAAAAAATTGAAGCAGTCAGTTATTGATCAGAGATGGTGGTTCAGAATTTTATATTTATTTGTTTTTCACAGGGCAAAAAAAAAAAGATTATAATATACACATGACTATGTCCCCTGGAATATGGGATCTAACTAGCTATGGAAATCAGGGTGAAAAGAGCAGAGACAGGAAGTGCTATTCAATACAGTTTTCTTCTGTTGTGCTATTCAATACAGTTTTCTTCTATTAACAGCATTATGTCTACTTCCTACAAGTATTACAGTTTATTTACTGTTTTTACCTCTTTCATGTTAGATCTTTCTTCCAAATGTCTTTGGCTATCTGTTCATATTAAGATTCAGTAAAATGACTGTTAGAAGTATACGTGGATAGGGCTTGTACCAGTTCTACTGTTTTCACCTCTACTTCTTGCTTCTGAGATTCTTGGTACCATTTCTTCCTGAGCCTTCCCGGGGCTTTGCTACCCAAATCATCCTACGATGACATCTTCTGCAGTCACCTATTATCAGCTTTTCTTTTTTCTGCCAGTTATCATTTATTCATTTATTTTTCATCTTCTAAGAATGAGTTGTCATCTTTGGCCCTGTCTCCTCACCTAATCTCTTTGCCCCTGTTGATTTTTATATTTCTTATTCCCTTCATGTAATTGTAGTGTAGAATTTGTATTTATGTGGGATTTGGCCCTTGTTCATTTATGTATTCATTCTCCCATTTGGAATTTTCTGAACAATTCATCTTCCTTTCTAGCCTGAATGCTCCGCACCCCCCTCTTTATTCCACTGGCTAGTATTGAATAGGAATGGAACAAGCGAACATTGTCATTTTATTCCTATTTTAGGGGGAAAGAATTTAGTCATTCTTCATTTATTGTGATGTTTAATTCTAGGATTTTTTTTTCCTTTGGGTGAGTATGTAAGATCAAGGAAAATCCTTTCTCTTCCTCCTTTGCAAAGTATTTTTTGTTATGGACATTGATATATGATTAATTACACTAATAGACTTTTGAAGGTTGAACCAGCCTTGAAGTCCCAGAAGTAATCCCAGTTGGTTACAATGTATTATCCTGTCTGTCGCTGAATTTGATTGACAGTGTTATTTATTTTTTTAAAGATTTTTTATGTCTTGTTTTCTTGATTAATATTGATCTGCAGTGAGTTTTCTTTTCATTTGTCTTGTTTTTCTTCTAATGCTTTAGCCTGGTTTTGATGTCAGGATAGCCTTACAAAGTGAGTTGGGAAGTATTCCCTCCTCTGTTTTCTGGAAGAAATTGTGCAGAATTGGTATTATATATTTGGTAGAATTTTTGCAGGAAAACAAACAATGTAGACCAGGAGTTTGGTTTTCTTGGAAAATTTTAAACTATTAATATAGTACTATTTGGGTTCTCTGCTAACTTCTTGAGTGGATTTTGGTATTTGTGAATTTCAGAATATTGTTTTTTCATGCAACTTTTCAAATTTGTGGGCACAGATCATATGTAGTATTTCCTTTTCTTAATGTGTTTGTTGTGATACCCTCTCTTTCATTTCTGATATTGATCTTTTTTTTTTTTTTTTTTAAGGTACTGGGGACTGAACTCAGGGTACTCTACCACTGAGTTACTTCCCCAGCCTGTTTTATTTTTTTATTTTGAGACAGAATCTTGCTGAGTTACACAAATTTGCAATCCTCCTGCCTTAGCCTCTGCTGGGATTACAGGTGTGCCTAGCTAATACTTTGTGTATATGTATGTCTCCTCTCCCCCTCCCCACCTCTGTCTGTCTTTCTCTTTTGTCCAGAGGTTTGTGAATAAAGGTTAACTAGAGATTTATTGATTACATTGTTGTGTTGATCAGTTTCTCATCATGATTACCAAAATACCTGCAAGAACAACTCAAAGGAGAAAAGTTTGTTTTGGCTCATGATGTCAGAGATTTAGCCCATAAACCCCGACTACATTGC